AATAAAAAATAAAAAATATAGTTTAAGCAAATAATCTAAACCTTCATATAAAAATTTATTTAAAATTAGGATAAATTTGGAATTGAACTTTACTTTTATATTTTTAGGATGAATTTTATATCTTGATGCAAATAGATTTTTTTTAGAATAAAAAATTGAAAATTACGCACTATTGCAAACTTCAAAACAAGAATTTCTGTTGGAAGATGTATGGCAGGTCGTTATATAATAGCTTTGAGGATACTTAAAGTCCAAGTACAATCGATCTCGTCGCAAATCCATTGTTCGATAATGAGTGCACGACATTGTTGTCCCACGTTCTCTATTCTCGCCGATAAGACTGACAAATGTAACCCCGTTACAAACCCAATTTTTAGCCACTGGCACTACTCACTATTCTGAAAAGAAAATTCTCTCATCTATTTTCTTGTCTGCCTCACAAAATATAGTGTTTTTTATCGTTTTTCTTCTCTTGAATGCATTTGAGTATTTTTTAAAAATTAATAGAATGAGATTTATTTTGTACGAATTAGTCAAATCATAATTTAAAAATTATTACTTTCCATATTTGTGACTTTTTAAATTTAACTGTTCCAAAATCGAGAATATTTTTTTTACGGAAAAAAGTAGTCGTGCTGTTGATTAGAATGCTGACACCTCTTCTCGAACCTTCTTTTTCACGAGTGGTAAATATCGATTACTGCGATTCGCTGGTCATGGAATCGGCAGGTCCCCTACCGACCTAAAAGACCAAAAACCGTTTCCTTCGAGTCTTCATATATCCTCGCTTAAAGGGGTGGAAACGAAATGGATATATTACGTAAGCCACATGCGCTGTATGTTCTACTATGAAATTTCGTTAAGTCTTTGATGTGGCTATTGGTTACTGAACTCCTTTGTTCCCTATTTTGCTGCATAGTTCATGGTTATTTATAATATGTAAATTTGGTATAAAAACATTGCTAAGTATTACAAAGATTATTTTTAGATAATGATGATACATCCACACGTAAAGTTCATTTTTTTATTTCGTGTTATATTTTTATTTTAGATATTTGACAATTTAAATTGTATTAGCAATATTTATATAGAAAATATAAATGTAGATGTACAGATAGAGATCTTATATTATTCATATTTACGTCAAGTATAGTCATGTCATAATTTGTAACGCGTCACTCACAATTCAGAACCTTTGAATTTTAAATAAAAATGCTAAATAAATTGCGAAACTAGAGAAGCTAAATTAAATATTCCTCAGAGATATGACAAACTTATATGTACCAAATAGCAATATTGAAATAAAACAGCGGAAATATTTCTCTGTGAAAGACAATGAGTGTCAAATGATCATTCAAGCTACTGCTTGACTTATCATAGCGCCATTAGGCTTTATGATTACATGAGTCGTAAAACGAGATGAAGGTGCAGAGAAAAATTTTATTTTGGCCAGGCATAATATACATCACATTTTTTTGCAAGCGATTTAATGTTATCATATAATATGCGTTTGCAAATGCGTAATATATAATATGAAAATTTTAGAAAAAAATTCTTACAATGAGATATATTTAGAAAAAGAAAAAATTTATTCATCTACTACATACAATTTCATTTGAAATATAAATCCATTTCTTGAATATTTGTATACTATTATATACGTAATATGTATAATGAGTAATGAGCAATAATGTAAAAGCTGTAAAATATTTGGAATTTATAAGAAATCCTTAAATTTGCTGAACTAATATTTAATTTAAAATGTCTATAAAATATCAGATTTAATTAATTTACATGTTTATTTTATGCCATAAGTTAAAACTTTACAATTTCATTTTTTGTAACTTTATATAATTTTATTGTTGGTTATAATTTGAGATATATTAATACTTAAATAATTAAAATAAAAGGAAGGAAGGTAATACACTAAAAATTATGTTTATAAAAGAGCAGAAGTATCATATAATTCAATAATAAAATTAAAGATTTGCCTTAAATAATTTATAGGTTTATTTATCTTTATCTACAAATAGTACTTAATTATTATCGATGTGTATGTATATACTTATTTATAATAATTTATATAGTATCTTTTTTACATAGTATGATTAATAATGCATATCAGCTTACACATGTGCATTTAAAATTACATATACGCCTTGTACTTATTATACGTATAATTCGCGTATTGGCACAAAGATTTTAGTTCTAAAATACAATAAACAGTCAAGGTTTAGTAACAGAAATATTATAACAAAAAGTTTTTAAAAGTAACAATTATAAATAAGATAGAAAGAGGCAAATTATTCATAAATTACATAAAGCTGTGTACAATAGATCAAATGAGACGTGTGTTTTTATAATATACGAATATACGCGTATTACACATGAGAAACCTTACATATTGCATGCGCGTATTGATTAGAGCACGTGCTGTTGACAAACTGAAAAGAAATTCCTATAAAAATCAGTCTTAAAAAAGTCTAGGAAAATAAAATAAATTGCATATAGTGACAAAGAAATAATAAATATTTCTTTCTTTTCTTTTTGATGTTACAAATATTTTGTAACAACTTAAATCTTAAATAATTGGATAAACCACTGCGTGGATAAAATACTGCAAACAAATGTTAATTATGAAGTCCCTATAATTTATTTGATATAGCTAGGTGAACATGTAATTTTGTATTTCGTGTTCTACATTCTAAATTCGCATCGATTTTTGAAGCTCACTTTGAATGAATTAAGACACTGACGATCGAACAGACATATTATACACATCATCGCGTTTACGATGGATTGAATAAGGAAAACACAATTTTAAGGAAGGGCATTTTCATGCTTTGTTATCCAGATGTTCGTTGTGTGTGTATATACTCTTACTAAAATATCTATTTCTATTATAAGTACTTCATTGATCCAACAACATATTTCTAAACCATCGTACAAGACGAGATCTGACAAATTTATCGGAAAAAACTATCATCAATCTATCATCGAAAAAAACGCTGATAGATATGATGTAACGATATTTTAGTCACAGCACTCACACAAGTGCAGATAGATTATAATATACATTAATATATTATACATCATTTTTATAGGTATATATACATGCGGATATTTCCTATATATTTAGATATTACACATTTAAATGCGTATGTATACGCACGTATACTTTGAGCGTATTATTTTCCACACAGGCTGTTCGATGGCTGCGGCTATCTTTTATCCTGTGGCTAATTTTTTTGAAAATATATAGAAAATATTGATAAAATGAGAAATTATATAAAATGTATAATATTTACCATTATAATTATTGTTTTAAAAATACATGCAATGTATATATAATGCATATGCAATGGAGAATTGATTAAAAATTATAATACGTTTCATCATTTTATATAAAATATTTTTGTTTTATATGGCCACGAAATATTCTAGAATTCGTTATTTTAATTATAGATTTAGACAATCTTAAAGTTGATTACATACACGAGAAAGAATAAATACATACATTTTCACAAGAGGAAGTACATTGTTTCGGAAGTCAAAGGCGAGGATAAAAGATATCTTTAACAATCGATCAAGCCTCTAAAATAAGTTTATCTGTAATATGTCTAATAAAGTCGCGCAGATAATAGGAAACATATATTATTAGCGCACTCCAAATGTTCCATTTAATACTGATACTATTATGCACACATACAATCGTTTTAGATTAAGTATTGTATTTGTAACTATCATTTCTAATTTATATAGCATTCTCTCTCTCTCTCAAATTTATTTAAAAAAATTAAAAAAAAATAAAAAAATATTTTATGATTATTAATTTTAAACATTGTTTTTGTCATAAGAAAATAATTTTTATAAACTAAAATGCTATGTTGCAAAAATACAATAAATCTGCATCTGCATATATGATAAAACATTTGATAAAACATATTGATTTACGTATGTTTAATTTTAGAAAAAATATAAGTGAGTGATATTAAATTATACATATTATAAAATAAACTTTTATTACAAAGTAAAACTTAACATAAAAAATTATCCATATCATTTATGTCCTTGTTTTTTAATGTGAAAAAATATTTTGAATGATTCATAAATTATATAAATAATTCACAATAATAAATAGAACAGTGCATACTTTATACGATTTATGAATTAACTTACGCCATAGAAGGATTCTCAGTGCGTTATCAATTTTTTTGTTATTGGACGGTGTAAGGAAGTTATACAAGATTCATTGCAGATAATATTATGAAAGGTATTACAGAAAATATTTGTTAATGCCTTCATTTGTCCTTGTATAATTCTGTTTTGCTTTAATTGCAAGATCAAATTTCTATCTTTTATATATGTATATAATAAAATACAATAATAATTTTATATACAAGACATCTCAGAACATTATTTCTTTAACGAATTATGTACTACTATAAAATTAATTATTTTGAAAGAAAATTTTATTTTTAAAAGTGTTTAATATACTTTATTTTAAAAAATAAAATTGTTTTTCCATAAAAATTAAAAACTTATAATTAAATTATATTAAATATAACCTATTATATAAATATTAAATACATGTTTATATTAAATATTTAAATATTAAATAATCGATGATAATCTGAGATATTCTGTATATGCACACATATACATACATTCACATACACATACATACATACAAAAATTGTAGAAGATGGTTACAATTCAGTTAAATATAAAAATGCGTGCTATTTTTCATTAATATCATCATTACTGACAACTTCTGAATTAAAAATTAGAAGATAATAAAACCTTTTTATTTTTATTACAAGAAACATCAAAATAAAGCTGTATATTTTGTGAAACTTTGCAATTATCATTATACTTTGCGTATAGAAAATTACATATTATCGAATTTAAAAAATAATTCATTATTAAACATATATATATTGACATAATTTTACTTTTAATTTTTAAAATAATGTCATATTTTCGATTATTAAGCCTTATTGAAAACGAGTTGATTTTTGCAATATTATGGAAAATCGGTTGTAAAAAATATGATACATGTACATACAAATGATATTATAGTGTAAGTACATTATAAAATCGAAAATTTTGAAGAGTAAGAAAGTTTCTATAATTGTTCATTATTAGATTTTTTTGCAAAAATTATTATAAAGAAGATGTCGTTCGGACTTTGATATATCTGATTATGTAGTTCTGGCTCTGATATATTTAATTATTATATATTTTTAAATTGGTACAACACTTTTCTACAAAAAAATAAATTTTTCGAAATTATTCGTAAGAAAGTTGAGTTATATTCCCCCTGTACTAATCATTTGCTAGGGTAAGCAAATAAAAATGTAAAAACTCCAGTCCTACGTAGAATATAAATCTGCAAAGAAATTGATGCGATAATATCTCAGACATCGTAAATTCTAGACCAGGGAGACCATGACGCGTTTCCGCGACGTAGAGTGTAGCATAGTAAAGTGCCCGCTTCTGCGAGAGGACTGGGCTGTTAGAGACGTCGTTACGGTCGTTCTCGTACTATTATTCGTCGTTCCGATGCCGAAACAGTGATGCGAATTTGTCGGGCACCAACCCGAAATCCAAGAGATTGCCTGCATGTTCCTACCGAGCAACAATTGTTGTTTAGCGGAGAAATCCTGTAGTGGAAAGTTGCGATCTCGAACCTTTTATCCTAAGAAAATGTTGTCACCATCGCGAACATTGTTTCGAATGTACAATAAGAAATTTGGACATTACATAAAAAAATATTTGCAAATTTTGTAGCTATTTTGATATAGCTCTTATGAATTAGAAAATTTTGTCTATTACTTAATACTGTAAAAATTATTTAATATTTTAAAATTATAATGCATGTCCTTTCATAAAAATGTTTGCCTACATTTAAGAGAAATTATTAATGTTTTAATTAGAATAAAATAGCAAAAGTAATATTAAGATTATAATTATTGTACATAATTTATAATTAATATACTTACCGTACGGTTTTACAGAATGGAGTACTAAAGAGGCAATAAATGATGGGATTAGCGGCTGAGTTGAGCGGTGTCAAACTTTGTATGAAAGTTGCGACTGCGATATTCGTCTGAGTTTTTGGTACATGTCCATAAACTTGAAGGAGGTCGAAGACTATGTATGGACTCCAGCAAAGGATAAACACTGAAACATTAAATCATTCTTCACTCGTGAGTATTATATTATAATTTACGTTTATGTATATATGACGCGACGTTAATTGTTGCAAAATTTGCAGAAATATGCAAACATTAAAATAAAAATGCACAAAAATTATCATGATTGCCTTGAAAAATAAAAAAATATAAATAAATAAAATATCAAATTATATTCATACAATAAAAATTTATCTAGCATAATTCAGAAATAAGAAAAAAAAGAACTTTTATTTTTAATAAAAATGCTACAGATAAAATGTTATTAAATTCGCGCCGTTAACTTCCATTGAGAGAATTGCCATTTGTATCTTAAATTACAAAAAAAGTTACAAAAATTCTGACAGAGCTGCAAGTTTTTGTCAGTTCCACTTTAGATAACGAAGCTAAAATAGTAAGACGCTCCATTTGTCTCTTTAAATCATGCTTTGATTTACATCGTAGCTTCCGTTTTAGAGATAGTATATATTGTCGATTTTTCTTTTATTTTTTAAAGAAAGCTAATAAAACAATAAAAATTCAATGACAGAAACAACTAACAAGAAACATTTTTCTAATCATAAATTTAAAAAGTATATACGATTGCACTTAATGCTTGAATTTAATAACGCTTCTCCAAACATTTCTATCTTTCGGAAACATCTATATTTGATTTTTTTTATACATTATTATATTCAATTTAAATCATTGAACAGTAACATCTCAATATAATATTATATTAAACACATATGCACAATTGCATAGAAGATAATATATATATATATATATATATATATATATATATATATTTATAGAATAATAAAAATATTAAAAATTTAATAAATACAATGAAGATGTGTTTATAATTTGTAATGTATGTAATATTCGTGAAAAATCTTTCTTTTTCAATCAAATTAAAATTTAAAAACTATTGGTACTTACAATTAGACAGTTTCATTTAAAAAAGATTTTTAATTTATCAGAGAATTTCTCGTTTAAAAAAATTGAGGACGTTGTATATTGACGAATACTTTTTGATATCGGACAGACTTCTATTATTTTTCAATCAATCTAAGACCAAAAAAGAGTTAAGCACATTTCGCCGATATTGGAAAAACTATGAGCTAAAAAGATATCAGTTGCCATACGGGAAAATGGCAGAACATCTGACGGTGAAATAACTTTTCTAAAAAAGCAGCTTTAAACTGTTCTTACGGCTAATTCATTTCTTGTTTGAGAACATTTACTTTCTGACTTTTGTATTTCTCCAATAATATTGTTTTAAAGTATTAAAGCTATAAATATAAATCATGGAATTAAATATGTATTTGTGGAAATATTACTACATCTACAAGCTGACAAAACAGCTTAAAGAAATGATCCTGAAAAATAAGTTCAAAGTTACTTTGTCAATTTATATAAAAACTCATTTGCAGTTAAAGTATTAAGAGCACTTTAAAAAAGATTACAGTTCGTTTTCTGTGTATAACCCAGAATGCGAAAGAAATTCTTTATGATTTGAAAATCAATCTCATAATTATATAATTTTTAACATTTTATATTTCTTTAATTAAAAAAGTAGAAATAAATTATATAATTATTTAATATTTTTGTATATAATTTTGATGTAACATTTTTTATGGAAAATTTGTTTGTAGTTTGTTAAAATTGCATTGTTAGCAATGGAATTTAAAGAGCTCTTATCGTTGAATTTATTAATAAAATTACTGCGCGTGTATCTAAAATTTTAATAATATATCCATCCACGCTGCAATAAAAAAAATTTAGTACAAAACTTTTTAAATTTATACTTTTTATTATATAATTTTGCATATTTGAGGTATTTAAGATATTGTAACGGTTTATCGTAAATTAAAAACTGTGAATATATTTATAATATATCTATATTCATGGTATCTGTGAATGTATTTGTATTCATGATATCCGTATCATAGTATTTCTAGCACAATGACCGGTGATTACACAATGAAAAATTCGATTAAACATAATTCGGCGTATTTGATTCGTCATTGTGATGAGTATGCAACACTCTAATGTCCCATCAGAAACATATAAAGGATGCAATGAATGATCACATTGTATCTCTCCTTTATAATTGACGAATGAACGTATCTATTGTTATTTCGAGAACGGGGATATTGCTGACAAATATGGTATATAGGGAGTTCATTGCACCGATATGCCGATATTCTTATAACTATTTTAAAATAAACAATTATTAAAAGAAAGTTTATCAAGCACAGGCTTTATTAAAAAACTCGTAAACATCAAAATAAAACTAATAAAAAAACTTATAAAAAATAATAAAAGAAAAAAAATAAAATTTAATATTCAATTAATTCAATTAATTATTATTGTGTGTGTATAATATTTTATCAAAATTATTATTTTTGAGGCCTAATTAAAAAAGAGAGATAAGATAATTATAGAAGAGATGATATATAAGATAGAATACAATTTTCAAACATAGGATAATTCAAAATATTTTAATACTACAGCTAAACAATTTGCAAAAATTGCAGTATTTTTAGATATATCTGTTTAACTGTCATTGTTTTTCATAATTGCACTAATAACTAATAATTTTCAACAATATTTAATTATTAAATCTAAAAATTTACCTATTAATCATTTCACAAGTTAATAATTTATAAGAAAATTTAATAACAGGAAATAGCATATATTTTAATCAATACAAGATAGAAATAGCAGGTCAATAAAAAGATTTCTCGATTTATGGAAATATAAATGGGGTCTTTTACTTCGAGATATGAAAAGCAAAACGCATTACCAACAAGCACAACCGCAATATTATGCACGATATATTATGTGCATGGTAATTTCAAATCACGAAACAAGATTACGTTGCTGTAGCTGCAGTATTTACGCGAGATTTATTCCGCGTGCATAACTTTCTTTGTTCTTTTCCGCTTTTGTAGACTCTCAATACTCTCTTTCAGAAAACAGGAGAATGCTTTCGGTATCTCCACCGAATCTTAGGTCATCGTCAACTAAAAATAAAATTTCATCTTTACTAAAGTGAAAACAAAAAAACAAATTTTATTAGCTTCGGTGATTTCTTGTTGCATATAAGATCATTAATTTATAAAATTATAAGAGATGAGCACGCTATTTGCAAGAAAGGTTTGTAGATGTTTTATACTGCAGCTGCCAAAATTATTATATAACGTTATTAACATGCATTAATAGGAATAAATAATTAAAATAATTATTGATTCAAGAATGTAATTATTTAAATTATTTAAAGCTATATAAATTATTGAAATATTTAAGCTAAAAATATTTATCTAGTTCTCTTTAAGAATGTCTAAAATGTCAAGATGTATAAAATATATATTAGATATATATTACAATTATAAAAAATATCTTACACGTAATCAATATTTTTATTATAATCGATTTATGTATATATATATGTGTATAGGCATGTGTATACATATATATATATATATATATATATATATATGTGTGTATATATATGTATATAAATTTATTATAATAAGAATTTTGATTACATGTAAAATATTTTTTGTAAAATTTGTAATGTATATAATTTGTTTTGATATAATATATAGGATAAGTTTTTAATTCATCGATTGATCAATTGCATAAGCACTTTGCTATATTTGCGCATCATGCAATTGATCGATCAATGAATTAAAAAACTCGCCCAAAAATAATCAACATAATCATATTTTATGTAAAAATTATAAGTATAGGTACCATATTTACATTTAGGATAAAATTTACGAAAATATTTATATGAAATATAAAATAAAATTAAAAAATATGTATTATATGTGTAATTGCAAGAAATGTCATCTATAGAAGCAGCTTTCTTGCTTGAGATTTGTATTTGCAGTAGTAAGAATTCTTTTTATATTAAAAAAAACTATTATTTAATTTTACTTAGCTGATCAAACTGATTAAATTGAGATTTCATATTATTTGTAAAATAATTAGATCTCATGTGATTTTCTTAGATATACATATATATATATATATATATAATTCTTTTTGTTTTTACATGGTTTGTACTCTTATATTGTACGTATATGCTCTTTACTCATATAAGAATATCGAGTAAAGAGCATGCTTTTATTTTTGCGCATCTTACGCTGCACAAATAAAACGGTTCACCGATCTCGTATCAAAGACATAGAAAAAGCTTGATAGGAGGTTATTACTTTTTACTGTCACAAAATAGACATACTGTTTTCAAGCGCGCTGCCCCGTTTCCTTTATTATCGTACACGACGAAATATTGGTGTATATACGTCAAAAAAAGAAAACACTCATGTCTCGAACATATCACAGTCTGTCAGAATCTAAAATTTTTCTTTACATTTACGAACTAACATGAATAACGAGCAATCGTAAAATCGTAAGGCTAGGCTTTAAAGTATAACTTTACAAGTCAAGTCAAAGAAGTTTATGTAAATATTTGCTTGAAAAGATTTTCTTCGAAACCTAAATTCCCTTTGAAGTGGACCTTGACGATGTAATAGAATTTGAAACTACATTCTGTGCTACAATTAGATCTTGATTCTATAACGCCCAAATAAATATAAGTAATATTTTTTATATATAAAGTTATTTCTTTTTTATTTTTTATCTTTTCTATTATAAATATTTGACACAAAATATATTTTCTTAATTCTCTATAAAAGATAAATAAAGATAAATAATGAAATTTCTTTTAATTTTGTTTACAATTTTTAATTAAAATTAACGCATTAATTAATTTAGCAAAATTTATATAAATGATTTGCGTCTTACCGAAAACTATGACGAAAGTCATTTTAACGGTTTTGATTTTCGCCCTGGGGATGAGACCTCTTGAGGATGCCCTGCGAGTGTCTCTAGTCGGTCCCTGACGTAGCGCTGCTCCTTGTGACCATATTGTGACCACAATGACTGTATAACAGCCTCCTATTATTAGGGTGGGCGCGATAAAGAGACTGAAACTCACCAGACTCATATAGATCTTCCATTGGGTCGGAGATCCCAAATCGATCCAGCACTGTGTCGTACCCTATAAAATGACCTTCTGCGATTAGGCTTATCTCGTGAATACCACGCGCAAAACTTTTCATTCCGGATTACTGAAAGCTCTTTTCAAAAATGCAAAAACGATATAAAATATCGAAAACGGTGTAAAATATTGTATAGTGTATTATCTAGTGATATATTTTTTCTATTTTTTTTCTCTCTTGAAAATACAATACGTAAAAACTTAAAAATATTTTTGAACAATATTTTTTTAGCAACAATTTTGCGATATAATTTTTAAATAATTGCTACATTCAAGAAAGATATGTGTACCTGTATTCGTTTCTCTTCGTATAGAAATATCATCGGCATACTGAATAACGCTGATAAAACCCAAGCCGTAACCACCAAAGCTCGAGCTCTGCACCCTTAATTGAAAATATAGAATAAAATTTTAATTTTGCATAAAACCTTATATGCAAAAATTATGTTCTATATTTTTAATTTTTTTATTCAAAGATTTATTATCCGATTGATTATTTTGTTCTTGTTTTGCATTATAATTTATCCGCCGCACCTGATATCTATAATAATCCAAGTATACATGTATATATAAATTTGTGAGCGTTACTTTGACGTATAGCAAATGTTCTTCCCTAACATAATTAAGAAAGCAAAACAGAATCTATTTTAACTAGTACTGATATCTATAATATTAAAGATATCAGGGCAAAAAATGTCATTAATCCGCTAGTGATTGAGTATCGAGCGACATGATTGGTAGTTCAATATCGGATCTTCGATTTCTGTAATTCCAACTATCGACAAGCCACGGGAACGTCGATAGAAGGTAGAAGATAAATTTTATACCCGTGAGGGATACGCATCGCAACAATCTGTGAGATGCTTCCATGTGATAGACAATACGACCACATCTCCAGTAGAAAGATAAAAAAATCCGACAACATTATCCCTTCTTCATTCTTTATCTTGTCGCGTCGAGAAAAAGAAACCGATAAAAAAGAAATAAAAGAAATATTTACAATTGATGTCAGAAACATGCAATATTAATTTTGAGAAGGACTATTGCATATCATTGAGATAATCTGATTGTCGTTATTGACAGAATATAGATATTGCGATTTATCAGAGCAACAATATTATTAAGAAAAGTTTCACGGATGGCATCAATTTTCATTATTTTTCACTTTAAGACTTTATTTAGCAAATTTATTTAGTAAAATAGATGCGCAGCATAAGAGTCAATGCAATTTTTCAGAAACACCAAATATGAGGAAAAAATAGAGGGAAGGAGAAGAGATGTAGAAATGATTCAATTCGCTATTTCTCGGATAACATCAATGTGAAAGTAAATACACTCTGTATGCGATTGATAGGTATCGGAAAATAAATGGCTTTTCATAATTAGAAATATGTAAATGGAAACACGTATTGAAACTGCGTTAAAAGTAACTCGGTAATTCCATTATCGCATGATTAAAATTATATCGGAATGAAAATAATAATCAACTCTGAATGGATTTATTCTTTTTCTCACTGTTAATCAAAGAAGATTTTTATTTTTTATTAACATTGTTTTTTTCCAAATCTTTCATTATTATTCTTTCAATTTTTTTATTTTATACTAAAATTGCTCTTGCGTATTTGCTAATTTTGTTTCTATTTGTCTCTTATTAATTTTCTCAACTAAAAGAGAGAATCTCTCAAATAATTTGTTTCCACACATTTTACCACATAAATCTTCAGAAGAAACATGTTTTTTCGCGGAAAGAAATTTTTTTGTGTTACAAAATTCTTATTGTTAATTTAATGTATTACACATATATAGCTTTCAAAATATTTTTTTTATTTATTAAAGGTAATTAAAAATGTATTATTATTTATATATTTATTAAAAGCAGTTAAAAATGTTCACATATAAAGACGAGAGAGAAATTTTCACTTTCAAATATCGGATCCTATCCATACCTTGAGTTGCGCTATATATTTCATGGAGATGAAACTAAATTAATAAGTTTAGCTCGGTGGTGTTGCTTTGATCCAACATTAAAGGCCGAGATTACATGAGTGCTAATATACTCACAGCTGCCGGAGAAATTCATCGGGCGGGTAATAGCATCGTATCTGTCGATTGATAGAGCCACAAGGACATAAGTCGAGCTGTAGGTCACTACAGCCTGCATAAACCTTATCAGCTTGCAAGCTACATTTCCCGCGTACCATGTGACCGTCGTTCTCCAGATTATGTCCGTCAGTACAGATATTAGACCGACTAGTAGATCTGCAACAAGATACGTGACGACAGCATTGCGATACGCATATTCGCTAATTGATATTAATTATCAATAATCAATGTTGGAAGCTCTATATCTATATTCTGACGAAGCTTATATTCGGTATATTTCTCATACTAAACTAATTACAATAAATATATTAATTAATATTGATTAATATTATGTATTAGGCGGAAAATCGTGTCCAGAGGAAAAAAGCTTACAATTAGATAAAAAATTAATAGGATTTATCTAATTTATCTTGTATTTTGTTTTCATATTATATAAGAAATAATCATTCGATCCATAGAACAAATCGATATTTTTGTTTATAATCCAAAACTTCAGGATTATTATAACAAAAAACTTTATAAATGATACTGCATTTTAAATAAATGCTCGTGTGAAATTATATAAAATTTTAGTAATACGAATTAAAATTTTCACAGAAGCGTCGCGCAATTGTTAATTAACTGGCTAAAGAGTCATTTATAAAGTAAAATCTGTTTTGATCATAATGAATGTTTTTCCAGATGTATGTACAATATGATCAATTTATAGCTCGTTTCGCTGCTTTACATTTGCACATGGTTAAAAATAATTGACATACAACACACAAAATGAGCGTGACAGAACAACGCAAATACGTCCGTAATTTCGATACGACAATGCAGTGATTAAAGGCTATTTACAGTGTTAATTTTATTTTCTTGATTTTATCATAGAAGTAATATTATATTATGTACCTTCTGTATAATGATTAATACAAAAAAGAATTGAATTATAGATATTTTTAAAGAGAATTATAGATATAAATTTTCAAGAATTATAGATATTTAAAAAAATCGGGTGTTACGTGCAATGTGCATTTACATATAAAATAACTTTACTTTTTTTAATATTATACTTATCATATCTAACATATTTAATAGATTTTTATTCGTGGATTATAATAATTAAAATTTTTATTTATAGATAAATTAGTACGAATTTATGGATAAATTTGAATTATAACAATCGTAAAAGCATGTGCATGCTGAGTTACTTTACGACTTTGCATAGAATAGGTTTCTTAATAATAACTTTAAAAGGCTATAATGCGCACTTCCCGAATTCACTATAAATCCGATCGTAAAGACTTTCGGAAAAGAGAGAGTTCAGCCACAATCCCTCGGTACCTCTGTAAATAAACCAAGTTCATCCCTTGTTTTTGTCGCTCATATTTTATAGAAATTCGATTTCACACTCTCGCGACTCGATAACGCCGGTCATGATATTAATGTCGAAATTGAAGAATAATTGCTTTCAGTGTAATGGGAAAATACGCCGGAAGTTAATTAAACTACAAAACAATTTGTTATCATTACATAAAAATGCTGCAAAAAACATAATCAATAATTTTACTTATATATGTTGTGATTGATATCCTTCTTGAAGTTCTTTTCTATCTATTTTGATATAAATAATTTTTACGATTTATTAACGATTGATCAATGATTTCAATTTGAAGTTTACATCTTTTTTATATATCATTGCAATTTTTCTAATATTATAATATATTTTATGCAATGTCGCGCGCTAAAATATATTTATTAAATGCGAACTTCAATACTGTTAAGCACCATCAATTTCGAGAGTTTGCACTAGCGAAAGAGTACTCTGATTGAAGATTCCAGAACACCTGCACTCCATTTACGAAAATCTTTCTTAGGAATGATCAAATTTGTTCGAGTTAATGGCTACACATTTCAAAGTACTCCTAAATATCCTCAACTTAGAGTTCTCAAGTAATGTTAAAATCTTTTAATACTTTTATGCTTCGCAACTTTATTCGAATTTCTCAATTTTGCTCAATTTTCTTTTATTGTCGATTATTTATGTTCAATGTTTTAAATAGTTGGTCAAAGACATAATTTCATTGTTCAATAAAAATGCATTAATCTAACGCAGAAATCAATGCAAAATAAGGTTTTTTTGCAAAATAAAGATGCGAAATATATTTTTCTTAAGAACTGTTTTTCAATCGAAAAAACATTTGTTTTCACATTTTGATCTTTTCTTTAAAAATATTCTATAGATCTTTTAAAATAATACTTTTATATATTGATAAATCAAAAATGTTTTTATTATTTATATTTTTTTTCTTGTTGAAATTCTTATTATATTTACTTCATGCACAAATTGACACATAAATAGACATGAAAACAATGGTATTATAATTTTGTTGTGTCATTAGTAAAACTTTTTTTGATAATTTCTTTGATAATTCAATATATAATGTTATAAGAATAAAATTAAAAAGATCAATAATAAAATTTTTGTATAGGCAATTTAATAGAGTGATGCTTCTATTAAAGATTTGTTAAACAGAGAAGTTTCTTTTCGGAGAAAAAAAACAAAAATCTATTGATTAATAATTTTATATTCTATATAAAATATATATAGAGAGAAACATATATTAACTTTAACTATTATTATAAAATATAAAAATTGCATTTAATTATGAAAAGAATTTTTAATATAATTTTCTAACGTAAATGTGAAAGGCTTTACATTGTTAAATCTCAATATTATAGAAAGGATGTTTCTATTGAGCATTGAAATATCTTGAAAAGTAAGTAATTTCTTTCAAGCACAGACTTCATATTATTGTCGCACAAGAGTACAACGTTGTTATTTGAAGAGTTTTCTTCTTTCATTCGAAAGAGACGTCTATCGTGAAGTATGTCTGCAGCGACAATCACTATCGAGAATATTTGAACATCCTTAAATCTAACTTGATTGCAACCAATCAATTGGCCAACAACAAATTCAAATGTTAACTTTCAGATTATTCAATTCTTTTTCTTTAAAGAAATAGTAATAGAAAAATATATTTTGTATCTCTTTCTCAAACATATTCATTTTATTATAATATATCAAAATCATATATGTATATATAATATTAAAAATTTAAATATTATAAAATATATAATACAGAGAAAGACGAATTATTACGTTAATTAATTACTTACTCTAATTACTTTTAATAAATATAAAAATATATTTCCTACAATTTTCAAAAGTTTTTAATTCCGAGTTTTCTGAAAATAAATTTAAATTTATTACCCAAAAATATCTTTGTAACATATTGTACATCTGTATTAAAATGCATATTTTTATTTGTGTTATTTTTTATAACATGTTATTTTAAAAGACATTCTTCCTTTTTTATCTCGCACTTATACTTATATCTACATATAAGTATAAACTTATATTGAATATATAGTTCGATTTATATCGTCCCAATTTCGATATAAAACACTATAATAAAAATAAGCGAATTTCCACATCAGAATGTTTTTATATAGTATGTTTTTACAGTAAACATATGATTTTTTAATCATTTCGGAAAGAGTATAACACACTTCCACAAACTTTTGGAAAGGAATTAGAATAATATATTTAGTCACAATTATTAAAATATTACAAAAAATATCTTTTCATTAAATATGTTTTACTACGAGCGCAAAAAATATACACACAGTCAACATATGCAGATGCAGCTGCACATACGAGAAATTCTTATACGCACGATTGTCTGCCTGTATTTCCGATATCCCGTATATAAAGATACGTCAGCAGAAAAGGAAAATAAATGTTTATCCATAAAACATGTACACGAAAAAGGATGTGCTATCGTTTCCCCAGAGTCTGAATTGAAACAAACATCGAGAGTGAGGGATTTATGAGAAAACCTTTGCGTTCGATCTCAATATCTAATTTATATAATAATTTTATATTATACAGAGTATACATATATACGTAATTAAAATATTACAGAAGTAAACAAATTACCAACTTATCTGCTTTGTTATTTTAAATCTTAATAAATTTTTAGCAGAATTAATAATATAAATATTTTTTTAATTGTTATGGTACATGTATGGTAAATGTTTAATTCGAAATCAATCGCTTTTTAATATAAAAATTATCAAAGTATTACCACTTTTTTGTGCCATTTACACAAACCATTAAAGATAGTAATGATCACTTACCCGCAAAGGCTAATTGCTTGATGAAAAAGTCCATCCGGGATTTTCTGCGTTTTCCTAGTAAAAGTCCGGCGAGAACAGCAGTATTGCCGGCGACTATTACCGCAAATAGCAGCCATAATACTGCAAATTGTTCCGTCTATAAGAAGGAAAACGTTCATTTTACTCTTATTAAATTAGCTCGTTAGTAGCTCAAATTTTATAATTAAGAACATTCTAATTATTTTGCAGAAAGTTTTATAATTCTTAAAACGTTTTAAAAAGGACTATTAAATTAAAAAATTATGAATACAAAGATATAAATTTATGTTTTTGTCATATAAAAATGACATTCTTTTTAAAAATCAATTTAGAAATAATAATTCTTATTTTTATATTTAATTGCTAAAAATCTTTTTAAAATGTGTATATAAGAGACTCTAGAACACTTTAAAGAGGAAAAACTCTATATCAATTATTATATATCAAAATTTTGAAAATAATGTGTTACATAAAAAAGAGTTAAGTTAGTTTTATGTATGTATATTAGCAAAAATGATTCTATATTTAAAATATAATACTATTTATTTTAAGAAAAAATATATATATATATTTATTCAAAATAATTAAATCCGTCAAATATACTTATCTTAAATCGCGGATTATACGCTAAAATAAATTCAGAATATAAGATCGCTTCGCAATTATAAAAATCTTTATGAATAATATAAAGAATAAATAATATAAATTTATATACAAATGTATTATTACTGTATTGTGTCTCAATATCAATCTGATGAAATGTTAGATAGTCATTTACTAATCACTTGCATTATCCGAACAAATAATCGATTTGATGGTTAGTTTGATGCCTGTGGTCTTGCATCGTATGCATTGCAAACTGTTTAACGAGAGTGTCGTTTGAGTGTTAATTTCAACATCATTTGCATTTCCATCATGCATAGTACGAATAGCAACCTAATTTGCTTCAGTATATTTTTAATTTCTAATAAGTATTTATCTTAAAAATGAATTTTTTTCATTGTAAATTTCTAATCATTTGTTAAAAGTTATAAATATTTAATTACAATTAAAAAGATTTTATTATGAATGTTATAATCACAGCCTAAAAAGTGTGCGTTTTTTAGTAAATATAAATGTATAAACAACAAAAAATATTTTAAAAATATATTATATTAATATAATAAAAAGCATTATTTTTAAATAAGAAAATTGGCTTACTAACCTGTTATAATTTTAAATGTATAAATAAGTCAATTAATTAAATACGAGAAATATACAGAGATACATTTTAGGTGAAGTTTGCAGACATGCGTTATCATATATTACATAATTTAAAGTTATTTAAATAATCAATTAAATTAGTTTAATTGAAGTTTAATTGAAGGGGTAAATTGGAGATAAATTGAAACTTACTCGAAATAATCAATTTTATATAATTAATATTCTAAAAAGTTTTATGAATACAATTTACACGCAAGAAAAGATATCTAAATTCCAAAGCCCAATCTGCCATAAGCCTAATTCGCCTGGCAGATTATATGCCTTCTGGCTTGAGAGGACACACCGATATTGGTATTGCCTCCCAAATAGGTGAATTACTTTCGCGCGTATCCTCCCATCGGGCGAGAAAAATGTCGCCGAATCGACGAAAATCCTGGGACCACAGTATTACGTATCCCATTCGTCTCCCTCTCTTTTTTCTCCGCATTCAGCACTAAATTTATGTTTCTATTCCGCAAACTGCGAATTCCGGAAAAGACTTATATGACGGCCGATTTAGGTCATTTGAGTTTGTTGAGACTCTTATATCGTATATAATATGAAAGCATTTGTAAGTTTATTTTCGCGGATTATCCATTTGCCCGTGACTAATTCTCAATTCCTTAACAAATTTAACAAATTAACACGACAAATATATATATATATATATATATATATATATGTATATGTATATGTATATGTATACATATACCTGTATGTATATATAAAATGACATGTCCTAAAAATATTATATAAACCTGCGTTAATATTTTAGATGATAAAATTCAGAGTATTTCAAAATGTATAACATATGCAAAATGTTAATAAAACAAAGTTATTATTTAATTCCATTCATGATATTTAAGTGTAGATAAATAAAAAGAATAATATATCTAATAATTATAATATCAGCAATTTAAAGCACACACAGAAGAAAGATAATGTTTTTATAGGATTTTAATTTTAAATGCAGCAAATTTTAAAACGGTTTATTAAAAAGATTAAATATTAGCTATATCGAATACATTTTTATTATTTTTGTTGAACGGATATGTTTTATTAACGGAATAAAATAAGATTCTGCGTAATTTTTATAACATAAAAAATTGTTTGCTTTTTGTTTAAAAGTTTATTCATACTATTAATGGCTTTCAAGATAATAGATTGTTCGAGGGTTTTTATTTTATCATTCTGTATTTTACTATTTATTATATTGGAAGATACACTTAACTAATATACATATCTAACTAATATACAATTCATGATAGTAAAATATACTTTTTATATTATTATTGTATATCTCTCAATATATTTAAGCAATTTTAATAATATATTATATTCGTATAATTAATCAAATTAAAGTACAAATATACGCAAAATACTGCTGAATATTTTTTTTATCAGCAGATTTATTTTTTTATATCAAGCCATATTTTACATTTTTTATTTTAGATTGTTTATCAACGCTAGAAGCTATCTATATATGACTGTTTTGCATATTAATGCTATTGTTTCTAAATTGCTATTGCTAGCTTGATATTTGATTCATGGTATCAACAGCCAAAAGAAAATAACACAATGTCTGGAATATCATGTGTATGCGATTCGTGATTCGCGATTCTCCGTTCATATCCAGTCTGCATCCCTTTTCGATTTCAAAATGCAATTACTCATATATGTACATCACTTGCAAACTCAATATCGATCGTCCGATAAAGTTGAGATCGATTTTGTCTCGCGCGAAATTTGTATGCAAAATTCCGAGTTCCTATAGAACTATGGAATCTAGGAATATATGTATATAGGAATATACAACTTGTTATTTTAATAATTTTTGTTTTGAATGTACAATTATAATTAAAGTCAAGTAATTAATATACATATGCACTTTACATCTTTATTAACATCTTTATTATATCTGATTTCAGATTCAAAATGATGCTAATCGAGGCCTTCTATCATCTCCACGCAATCTCACTTAACGGAGGACATTCCAAAAGGAGTTTTGGATCGAGTAGATCGCATGCCAACCACGAGATATTCCCTGACATACAAATCAAACGGCATAATAGCTGCTGCGACACACCATCTAAGTGGATTCGTACGATTTAGCATCGAGGAAACGGACGATAAATGGAGATAACGAGACAAGCTCTCATCCGTGCGGCTTCCATCGTCAACCCGTGAGGTAAGTACTTTATAAAGCATTTAACCGTATAACACACGGCGCAATTTCACTGATCGTATAAAATTGCCGTGATTTACGGTCTTGTTTCATCGCGGATACGGGGTGTACACTTTTCCAGACGGTATCGGTAAAAGAAAGCCGACGCGACAGCGAACGGCGTGCGCGACATTAACCCATTTAATCCACCGCGGACCAAAGTTATACTTCCCATAAAAATCTATTGCACGTAATTGAACGTTGACGTAATTCGTCGACGGACAACCGTATCGAGTAGTAAGCCGCTGATAAGCGGATTCACGGTGGCTTTATGAAGTAGCGAACAAAGCCGATAAGTATAAATAATATTGATATTGAATTGATATAAAAATAATAGCTATATCATATAATTTGTTTTTACTACGTGTCAGTTGCTAATTTTATGTGAAACGAATAAAAATCGGGCAGCCAAATCTGATGTCGAATTCATGCATAAGAACTGATTAATGTTATTTAATTTTATATTAAACTGTGGAAACAATATGATAAATTTTTTGAAAAAAAATATTGATATATGTTATAAGAACGTAGAATTTATCGCAGTCACATAGGTTTAGATGCAAAAATTTTGATGCAAATATCACATTCGCTTAAAGCTTGCTTCAGATAATTTATAATTCTCAAAATTTGGAATAGATTTCTATTTATAATTTTATGTGTTGTCTTATATAGAAAACATATAAATAACTAAAACTTTCTGTAAAATATGTATTAGAATATATACATAATTAGCATTAGCATATACGGCTTATAAAATTATAAATACATTTCTATCTTAGATTTTTATTGCAAATTATAGATCATCTAAAGCGAATTTATAAGCAAAAACCCATTAAATCTGCATAAAGCACATCTTAAGAGCACATTTTGCTGCTTTAAATTTTACGTGAATGGTATTAAGCAACCGTGATAATAAATGAAAATTTCAAACAGATTTCACAATGTATATACATAATGAAAAGTTTTTATGTCGAAATAATTGACATTTGTTTCCTTTGCACTTATACCGGTATACGTAGAATTTACGTGCTATTCTTTCTAGCAATAGCTATTTCATTCATAATTCAACTTCGTAATTCTAAAGCAATGCCGTAGTCGAAAAGAATGCGTTCGTCCAGAAAAAAAAGGTTTCCATTTACATATTTGTTTTTCCAAGGAAATAACAAACCGAATAAAAAAGGTTGACACAAATTAATCATTCAAACTCATTTAAATTTATGAGTAACACAGTTCAAATTTAAGATCAATTTTTAAATCCTTAATTTAAAAAATGAGTTAAACCTTAAACTTACAATTTCTCGCATTTACAGAGTTTTGAGAAGTTCCGTTTTAAGAAGTAAAATATTTTTTTAGAAAATAAAATAAAATAAATTTAAAAATATTTCTCTAATATATATCTTTGATTAAAAATCCTTCTGCTCTAACTTAAAAACCATCTCCAAAAGATATTTTAACTCTTTTATTTTTATTCAGTGTAAGTATCACCGTTCAAAGTGTTTTTTCAATTCATTTCTTGATATACGAAAATCTGTTTTCTTTTATATTTACCATCCGAAAAATGTGTACAACGTTAGAATTTATCACAGATGTGTATTTAGCAAAGATTTAGTTGGTTACACGGTATTTGCGAAGGAACGCAAGAAAAATGCCGGTAACGAGCCGCAGTAGAGTCCTATAATCGTAACGAGCCGCGGTAAATGGTTCAGTTACGGTTCTACTGACATGATGCCGTTTTCAAAGAAAAATCTCTGACCACCGCAAACGATGACGTGAAAGAGTAACGAACCGATCGTAATTCGTAATTCCTAACGATCGAATGAGAAACGTGAGCTTAACTATGTCGCTCTTTCGCGGTAATAACGGAGAGTGCGCTCTTGGATACGCGCCAGTTTCCTGCATAAATAAACAACTACTGATGTGCTAAAGATTACTTTGACTTTATGATCTTTCAAATGAAACATTTTAATAAAATATATAACACGGTACACAAATCAATTTGAATAACATCGAGAAATAACAATGCTAACGATTTGTTAAAGAAATTTGTGAAATTCAATAATTTATGACAATGATTTAATTTACTTTTTTAAGAATTGGAAAACAATCTTAAAATTCAAGCATGATTGATTTTCTCGAGAGTTTCAAATGTATGATAGTTTATTCACTGTTTGTAAATTCTTGTTAGATTAATTGAGAAAATTGCAAAAGAGAAAATAACAAGAATCTGGTTTTCTGATTATATAGTAGTTTCACACAATTCACTGTATTCGAGGATCAATATTGCACAGGTGTTTGCGTTGTGAATTATCGTTGCGGTGGTTTCGTGTATTTACAGCCAACGAATCATTAGTAATTTATAAAAGAAAATACGTACATTGCAGTACCATCGATAAATGAAATAATAAAATATAAACTGATTTCTCACAATACTTGCATTCTTTTTCCTCTACAAATACGTGAACATTTTGCCGCAAAATCATACAACCGCAACGATAAATTTAAAATATTTCTTATTAAAAACAGATTATCACATTTTTTATAGATCTAACCATATTTTTCGAAAAATAAATTCATGACAACTAACAAAAACGTAATGTCCAACTAGTGATGTATAAATTTCAATTCACAAAAAGTAAAAACATAATACATTAAATTAAATGCAATATCAAACAATTGTATTTATATATGTTTAATGAAACATATGAACTTGATTAAACTTGATTTTGTTTTTAAATCGATGATGAACAAAGAAATTCTATAACGTCTAATTTTATTTATATGTATAATATTTTTAAATTTCTGTTAATTATTTCATCGAATAATTCGAATTGTCGTGATTTATTTTTTACTTTTGTGTACGTAAAATACAATACAGTACGTGAAACCTCAAATTCTTAACAAATAAAAATATTTAATATTGCACGTAAAAATACAAACTTTCTTTTAGCAGTGCAAACATAATAGAACCGTCAGAGCGAAGTAGTATGTACCCAAATAGCCACAGTAATTATTATGACATCATTTTGATGGCAAATGATGCATTTTGACATAACCTTATCTTCCTCATATCATTGTTTATGATACTTAAATTAATTATAAATTATTATTTATATGATTCTAATAATTTATAATTAATTCTACTTTTAATTCTTAATCCTACATTAATGCTCGGTGTAATAGATTTGAGTGATTGTAATAAGAGAGATATATGAAATAGGAGTCCAATTTAAAAATCTACATTAGAAAAAAAGAAAAAATAAAAGATGTCTAATAGAAGTGTTGTCATCCTTGTTTTTAACTTTTATATTTTATATTTTTATATTTTTATATTCGAATAAGGAGAAAGATTTAATCTTGTATTTTTCCTGTATTTTTCATTTATACATATAAATTTTTATTTTTATTATCTCGTTATTATAAAATAAAAAATAATATACCACTCACCAGTATGAAGCACAACAGCAGAGTTGTAATACACTACATTGCAATCTGCAAAAAATACAAATATATCCAAATTATATATAAAACAATATCTAAAATATTAATATATAAAAAATTAACTATGACGCACGCAATTGAATTTTTTATTTTTCTTTTTAGACAGATATTTAATAAAACAAATTGTGTATAATTTTTGAATGAAAGATTCTATTTAGGTAAATATTTTATAAGATATGATACATACATAAATATATATAATTTGATTTTCTGTTATATAAATAATCAAAAGTGTTATAAATTATAAACACATTAATATATAAATATTAATTAATATAAATATTTTATATTACAAATAATTTCAGTATTTTAAAATAAAATAAATTTAGGATATAATATATTTATATTTATTATATTACACAATAAATTTATGCAGAATGAATCGCTATCGGAGAAATAAACGAGCATTTAATTTTACAAGTAACAAAATATAAATAGAATTAATTACAAATTATCTTACGGTTTCTTTGCCATTATTAAAGCCTTTCTGGGCCCCTTATTCTCTCTCTTTTACCTTTTGCTTCTTTGTTTACATTCAAAATATAGTGAATTAATTACGCGCGTACTAATGAGCAAAATATGACTATCATACACTTTGGATTTTGCACGACACTTCTGATGTTAATCACACGTTAAGCACAGTTTATTATTATATATTATTACGGCGGAATAACAACAATGCGGAAATTAAACATGATTCATTCATCTGGCACTCGTACAAAAAATTAAATTCATTCTACTTATTGCGGCACTTGTTATCTTTGCTATTTTTGTTAATTATATATGTTCGCATCTTAAGGCAATTTTATTATTTCGCGTTATAAATGAATGTGTAAATTTAAATTAAGATGACTATTCACCAAATGCTCCAACAATATATTTATCGCTTTTTTACTATTATAAATATATATCTTAATAAATTGCTAATGCACAGATGGCCAAATTTTGCTATACGTTTGACAGTGATACATATAAATAACTACATGTATCGATTAAATACATTGTTATGTTGATTTGGAATCTGTCGACATATTATATTTGCAATATATAATTAATGATCGAAACAAACATAAATATAATATAGACTTCAACTTAATATCGTGCTGTACAAGTTAGTAGCTACTTAAGATGCGATCAATCGCTAGAAATTATAATCAATTCAATATTACAAGCATTGTAAATTTTCCATATAAATCTCGCAAAATACGTATTATCAATATCGATATATCTTATTGTTACTTCAATCAAATAATCGTTATCGACAATTGTAACAATGATACAGAATGATCGTATTTTAACGACACGAAGATTGACGAGCGACTAACACCGCTACCTACTCGCTCTAGTATTCTGGTGTACACGACATTATCTATCGAAAACATTCTCTAATATTGTTACTAGCAATTATTACATTGCATAAATGAGTAACTCGTACAATAAAAGATATGTACAAATGTGACAATGCTTATTAAATTCGAATGTGATATATCGATTGCTTATTAATAATACATATCTCGCGAGATTTACCTATTGAAAACCTTATTATACTTGAAACATTTATATGTAATTTCGATTTATATATAATTTATATATTCTGACAATCCATATTGTACTTTGGCTAATGGATAAAACTCGATCTGCGTAATATTATATAATAATATGAGAATAAAGTCTATTTTATTAACCAAATATCATGATAATATTTTATATTTTATGATATATAAAATATGTAAATTTTAAACCGCGGTGCATAATGTGTTTAACTAATGCACAATTGTCATAATCTTGTTCTTACTGTTTATCAACCGTGCCACAAATACGATGTTTATACATCGTTGTAATTTTAAATTTCATATTTTGTTTATTCAATCAAAGTCTATCATATATTTATAACGTGAGAATAAAATTGCCTTAAGATATAATTAGGAATGAAGACAACAAGTATATAGTGCATAATATATGAATTTAACCGTGATTTTTGTACAAGTGCCGAATAAATTATATAATTTTTGCATCGTTCTACTATCGTTAACAATAAATTAAATAATAATAAAATGCATTGCTTAACATCGAGAATATCGTGCGATCATCGTATTTGGTTCATTAGTGTCCACGTGATTATAATTTATCATTTTTTTCGCGAGTGAGTGTCAAAGAAGCAAAGGGTAAATAAGAAAGGCTCAAGAGGTCCGAGAAAATATCAGGCAATGGCGATACAACTGTGACGTGAATAATTTGTGACTTATTTTATTTATTATTTGTTACTTTATTAAGTAACAAATTAATTGCTCGTTTATTTCCGCGGTAGCTATCATTCTAAAGTATTGTGTAGTATAATAAATATGTATATATGTATATAAAATATTCTAAACTTTATTTTAAAAAATACTGAAACTATCTATAATAAAATATTTATCTTAATTAATATTTTTATATTAATATATTTAAGATTTGTAACTGTTTAGATTATTTATATAAAAATTAAAATTATATATATGTATCATATTTTATAAAAGCTATTAATCTAAAAAGAATGTTTCATTTAAAAATTATGTAATTTGTCTTATTATATTCATCTAAAAGACAAATAAAGAATTAAATCGCACGTGTTATAATTAGTTTTTTTAAATAATAATATTTAGATATCATTTTATAATTTAGATATGTTTGTATTTTCTATGGATTGTAACATAATGTATTACAATTTCGCTGTTGCACATTGTATTGTTGAGCAAAATATATTTTACATTTTTTATTTCATTATTTTACAATAGAAATGATGGATTCGATGAGAGTTATCAGATATGAACTATATCTTTTAATTAAGAAATATTTGCACTTGTAAAGAGGTTTAACTTTTTTTAAATTATTTTACATTGAATCACTTTTTTTAATTTATCATTCAAATAAATTTGAAAAATATTTTTCTCTAGAAATAAAATTAAATATGAATTTTTAGTTTAATGTAGTTTGCTTTGATTTTCTTTAGATTGCCTTATTTATATATTTTGTTTTAACATTTTATTAGTGATATTTACTGGTTTCAACTTACAAGAGAGTTATCAGCAAAATAACATATCACATGTTGATGTATTATCCTCGAGATAGAACAAATCCGATGCAAGCAGACATTTTACCTTCGTTTCTTTTCCCATTTCGTAAAAGTGAAGGTCCTACGAAAGTGGTCTTTGCTTGATAAATTTCGTTAAGCTTAATTTTTTTTTTTTTAAGAAAAAATGTCAAGCAATTTTTCTTTAGACATTATGATTTTGTAGGTAAACATATTACTTTAATACAAAAATACTCTTTATCAGTTAATATCGTATTAAAAATTATAAAAGAAACTTATTAGCATATATATATATTTAGTTTTATTTTTTTTTCTATATATCTCTCTTACGTATTTTTCGCAATTTCTATGTTTATTGCTAGCTTTAGAATAAAAACAAAGTTTTAGTTAGAATTGATAGATTTTATTGCGAAGTTAAAACAGAGAAACATGAATAGATTAATCTTGAAAACAAATATGATATGACATGATTATAAATATAAATTGCGTGTTTGCAATATAAAATTAAATAATTAAATTTAATTAAATTATTAAATTATAAAACTTTTTTCGCGCAAAATATTCTAAATTTATATTGCCAGCGTGGGCAGATTCTTAAGTCAAATCCAACTTAGAGCAAATAAATTTGCGAGATAGGATGCTTTATAATCTTTTTGCAACGCGTCCTATCTGAAGCTTTTCCTTCGTTTACGCGATAAAGCAGTAGCATCTCATGTCGGATTGGGGTTTAAGACTTTATAAAGATGATCGTTTTGCATACATAGAATATAAAATAAGGTATAAGAAAATCATGATTTTTCCAATTTACAATATTTAATAAAATTTTAATTTTAAAAGATAAATACTTATAAAAAGAAATAAGTTCGTTTACTGCGTGATATAATTGATGATTATTTTATTTTTACTTTATTTTATTTCTAATTCAGTAAGGAAACAAATCAAATTTGTATAGAAAACGAAATGTTTAAGATACGACGTATATTTAATCCTAGAAACGTAGAGTAAGATTAAGCATCCTTTTTTGAGAATACTTATCTTTTCACCCTATTTTTCTATCTTCCCTCAGTAGATTCAAATTGGCAGATATAAACGAAAAGGACTAACGAAAATAAAGACTTATATTGCCATTATAATTCGCTGAATGTTATGTTGAAAGTGACAAATTCATGTACATATAATTAACGACATAGTATTAGAAAATTTCATAACGCATTTTAAAAATAATTATATTTTAGAATCAATTAGCGAAAGAAGAGTAGTTGCTATATGATAAAAAAGTAATTTGCAATTTTCTTTATTCTATATTTTTTCTCTAAAAACCGAGTACTAAAGAATTATTTAAGTTTGTAAAGCGTGGCTTACAAAAAATTCCTCGGGCTTTTAAACATAAATATGCCGATACATTTTCGAAGGAAAGAAGTAATATAATCATGAAATATGAGCATCCTTTTGAAGCACTAATATTCTACTCATTTGTATTCTTCGCGGACGAGATTTTCGCGCTGCCTCTTGAGTTTACGAGATGCTAAATCCAAGCCAACACTGTGGATTTAATTCAATTCGTGAGATAGAAACTGAGCGAGCTGAAAACCACTATGTTTTGCGTTCCGAAAATTTTGCGCTCTGTTACGCTGCTTATTCGCTTGGAAATATTGTTTCTCGTGTAGAACCTATTATTTCGTTGCAGTTTCTTATTTTATAGTCAAATAAAACTCTATATATTTCCAAAACTTTTCTAACTTACAAAATGTGTTTCTTTCATTGACTTAAACAATAGTTTAAAAAGCACGTTTGCACTATATTTACAAAAAATTTGACTGGAACATTTAACAATCTCATTGTCAATGATTATTATGATTTATAATAAAAAAGATTATAAAAAAAAGTATCATTTGTCTTTAGTATAAGAGATCGAAATTTT